CCCCCCACCTTCCTTTCCAAAGGAGGGAGGACAAAAAAACAAAAAAAAACAGGGAAAATCAATGCTAATTTGCAGAGATATATATCATTATTTAAAGTGTGGTCACTTGCTGCTGATCGCCATTAGAACAATGAAGGGGTGTGTGAGAGGAGCTCACTGTGGCCTTTTGATGAATTGAGACGATTTAAAATAAGTTTTGTATTTACAAGTGAGAATGTTGTGTGATTTTCCCAAGTTTTACATCCCTACACTCAAAAAGGTGGTTTGATAATAAGCAGTAGAGATAAGAACCAAGACAAATGATATTTCAGAGACAGTTTACTATTTGTTTTCACATCATTTAACTCAAATGAACTAAAACCTAGGCCAATAACAGATATATTTTAACAATGTAACTTCATATGATAACTTTTATTAAGACCACAGGCCTCACATCTGTCCCTTCCAGATTTTAGGGATTGAAATATAGATGAATTTAAGCACATTTGCAAAAAATATTCTGAATGAATGCACCGTCCTATAGGTGTATAAGGTATTTTGCGCAAATGATTATCGTACAGCTGGAGAAAAAGTTGACATCCCTATGAATAAAGAGGGTAAGAAGAAGAACAGGAAAGTATGCTGAGCAAGCCTTTACTTTTAAACCTTAAACCAGCCTTCCTAACTGATCAAAACATTCCCAAGCACCACGAGCGATGAAGCCATGGATGTACACAAACACTGCGTGGACCTGCGTCACAGTATCCGCTAAGTCACTGCTTTATCTCACTCAAAGTAGGTGGGGGGGGTTAGAGGGAGTCGAGTAAAGGAAGACAAGAGGAAACGAAGAAGTGAGATAATAAAATAAAAGAAGCTATTCTTCTCTTCACCTCGATTGCTCCTTTTGATTTCCCCCAACAAAAGGCAGGGTCAAGGGGTTAGACGGGTGAAAGTACTCAGGGTGACAACACAAAGCCAATATGCTATCACGTGCCGGAGGAGCGCGCGGAGGAACGGAGAGAGAGAGAGAGGGTGAGGAAGGAAGGAAGGGAGATAGAAGAGCGAACACAAAAGCTCTGGTTTCAGTCTTACCTCGGGCAGGTAGAGGAAGGCAGGGGGACACTGGAGCGAGTGAGGTAGCATCCCGGAGCCGGAGAGCAGTAGGCAGCCGGAGTTGGCCATGGAGCTCAGCGTGGGGTGACGGGACGCTTTGCGCATTTAGCAGGGAGATCCTTTTTTCTTTTCTCTCCGGCTCGCGCTCGCTCGCACTGTCTCTTCAAATCACTTCCTTTTTTCTTCTTCTGCCTCCTCTCTTTAAATATGTCCCCCCTTTCGTTGGCTTTTTCTATTGAAGATGTAGCGGGGGAGGCGAGCGGTGGCAGTGCGCAGACAATGTGCACCTTTATCACTACAGCTCTGTCTCTCTTCTCTAGGTCTCTCTCCCCCTCGCTCTCTCTCTCCCTCACTATCCGCGGCGCGACTGTTTACTTTGAGCGCGATAAAAAGCCAACATAAGCATTCAGACGCAGAAAGGGGGAGGTTCTGTGCGAGGAGGAGGAGGAGAGGAGAGGAGAGGAGGAGAGACGGCAGGGGGTTGGGTAGGGTTAGGGTGGGGTTATAAAAAGTGGTGGTGGTTTCAATG